CAATATACATTGAATTGTTTGCATCTCCAGACTTTGGGTATTACTGTTCTTTGTCATGTGAGAAGGAAATGACAAGGTGAAGGGATAAGTCATCTACCAGCAGTTAGCAAAATTACCCTATCCTGGGAGACCATCTTGGTTATGACAATCTTGTGGCCCACTGAGCTAAAGGAGGGCCATGCCCACTCACTAGCCTAGAGTGCCCATTCTTGCTTTAGCATCTAAAATGTAAAGATTTATTTATCAGAAAGAAAGAAATCAGAATTAAAATAGTTAAAGGAATCACATACATGCAGCAATTGCAAAGTTCTTGGTTCAGGCTTGTATCAGCAATGGAATAAATTGCTGGCTTAAATTTAGTCTCTGGAGTACTTCCACAGCTTGGATAGTCATTCAGTCCTTTGTTCAGAGCCTCAGTATGTAGCAAAAAATTCTCCAGAGGTGAGAAGCAGGACTGAAGACAAAAGGGAGGTGTTTAGAGTGCTTTTTATACCTTCTGCCATGTGGAGGGAATACCAATGTTCTTGCAATGGAAAAGTACAGCAACAAGATGGTGTTTAGAGTCATATAGGAAAATCACATATCCATGCATGATTCAGTTCTTTACAAGTAGAAGCCATTGCTCCCATGCTAACTTGAACATTCACAGGAAGGCTCCTCAGATGTGAATTAGCACCTTCCCAGGCTCATTATCAGTCAAGTACTTTTATTCAACTTGAATAGTCCCTTCACAACATGTTGGCCAAATGCCCTGTTGGTGGCTCTCAGAAGTAAACATTTGAAATACAAGTACATAGCCTTGTACTTGTGTACCTGCACCACTCATAATTTCAAATACAAAAGTGACACATGAATACAAATGACATAACCATAACCAGTTGATCAAAATTGTTTCATAGACACCTCACTTGGCAAACTTTGTACAAGATTTGTTGCAAATATATAAGAACATTTGTAACAGCGATCTATATGGTCATATTTTAATCTGGTAACATCACATTCTCCCCTCAGCCACATTCCCTGGCAGGGTGCCAGTGCAGATTTTTTGTGCATGCCATGGAAGTGGGGGGGAGGGGCAGAAGTGAGAGCAGTGGCTTCAGCAGTGTAACTGATCATGCTTAGTACAAGCCAAGCACCAACTCGGGGGAAAGGGGAGGGAGACCAAACCTGTCTCCCTCTCCCCCTCCCCCCTCACCACACACATATCATCTCTTTCCAGGAGCTTCTGAAGCACCTGAAAACTCTAATTTTTTGCAGGTAACATAGCAATTGGCTGACAGGAACATTGTATGTAATGTAATTCCTATGGAAAAAAACATTAAATGTATATTGGATCCATTCAGCTCCAATATTAAAATGTTCTGACATCTTGTGGCAAGTCACTTGAAAGACATTGGTTAAGTTTAAAATTTTAATGTATATTCTTACTTTGTTACTAATGCTGCAGAGACAGAGACTTCATCATAACTCCTGGGTTCTAGCTCAGCTCTAGGAGGGAAGTGGGGTCTAGTGGGTTACAGCAGGAGGCAGATATATTTAGTCTCTATGGGTTCATCTAGACTACAGGGAATGGTCGAAAGAAGATATGCAGGAAAGCAGAGCTTTCAAAAGTGAAATTAGTCAAGGCTCAGATTTTTCGGCAAATCCCCCCACCCTTTGTTGAAAAGCCATGTAAACCTCCTTTTTTGAGGAAGAGCAGCTTTTTGACAAAAGGGGGGAGGGGTTTGCTGAAAAAGCCGTGTCTTAACTACTTTCACTTTCAAAAGCTCTTTCAAAAGTGCGATAGGAAGAATCTTCTTTCGACCGTTCCCCGTAGTCTAGATGAGCCCTATATAAGAACATCAGAATAGATACTGGATCAGACCAATGTTCCATCTATTCCAGTATCCTGTATTCTAATAGTGGTCGATGCTAGGTGCTTCAGAAAGAATGAACAGAACAGACAATCACCAAGTGGATCCATTCTTTCACCCTTTCACAGTTTCTGACAAACAAGATGTTAGGGACACTCTCTGCCCATCCTGGGTAACAGCCATTGATGGATCTATCTTTGAACTTACTTGGATCCTATTGGAACCCTGTTTAGTTTGGTCTTTTCCATTATCCTTGGCAAACTGTTCCACAGGTTGACCATAAAGAAATATGTTTTTGTTTCTTTTAAATCTGCTGCTATAAATTTCATTAGGGTGATCTTCTTGTGTTATGTAAAGGAGAAAAATGTTCACACTATTCATGATTATATAGATCTCTAACATATTCTCTCCAGCCTTCACTCATCTATTTTCCAAGCTTATGCATCCTAGGGTTTGGTTTTTTTCAATTCTCAAGAAAGAGATGTTGGAATCATTGTAGATAGTTTCACTTTGCAGCAGCAAACAAAAAAAGCTAACCAAATATTAGGAATAATTTAAAAAAGGAATAGATTTGACAGAAATTGCATATTGCCTCTTTATAAATTCATGGTACACCCATATCTTGAATACTGCAGGCAGTTCTGATTACCCCATCCAAAAACAAACAAAAAACAAACAAACAAAAGGGCTGTGTCTACATTGGCATCCCTTTCTGGAAAAGGGATGCTAATGTAGACTTCGAATTGCAAATTCCGCGAGGGATTTAAATATCCCCTGCGGCATTTGCATTTACATGGCTGCTGCTTTTTTCCGGCTTGGGGATAAGCCGGAGAAAAGCGCCAGTCTAGACGTGATTCTCTGGCAAATAAGCCCTTTTCCGGAGGATCTCTTATTCCTACTTCAAAGGGCTTATTTTCTGGAGAATCACGTCTAGACTAGCGCTTTTCTCCGGCTTATCCCCAAGCCGGAAAAAAGCAGCAGCCATGTAAATGCAAATGCCGCAGGGGATATTTAAATCCCTCGCGGAATTTGCAATTCGAAGTCTACATTAGCATCCCTTTTCCAGAAAGGGATGCCAATGTAGACACAGCCCTTTTGTTTGTTTGTTTTTTGTTTGTTTTTGGATGGGGTAATCAGAACTGCCTGCAGTATTCAAGATATGGGTGTACCATGAATTTATAAAGAGGCAATATGCAATTTCTGTCAAATCTATTCCTTTTTTAAATTATTCCTAATATTTGGTTAGCTTTTTTTGTTTGCTGCTGCAAAGTGAAACTATCTACAATGATTCCAACATCTCTTTCTTGAGTGGTAACAGCTAATTTAGACCCCATCATTTTATATGTATAGTTGGGATATTTTCCTGGATTACTTTGTATTTATCAGCATTGAATTCCACCTGCTACTGTTGCCCAATCATCCACTTTTGTGAGATCCCTTTGTAGCTCTTTGCAGTCAGCTTTGAATTTAACTATTTTGAGTAATTTTATATCATTTGCAAATTTGCCACCTGTTTATCCCTATCATTTATGAATAATTTGAACTGTCCTGGTCCCAATACAGATCCCTGGAGCATATCAATATTTAACCTTCTCCATTCTCACCAGTTATTCCTTCCCTTTGTTTTCTTTATTTTAAGTGGAGTACCTGATGATGCTTTTATGATCTAATGATCCTTCAATTAATTTAATGATAAGCCATGCCCCAGAAGCTCTGCTGCACTTAAGAGCTGCTTCTGGGGCATGTGCTGTAAGTAGCCCTTAAGTATGCAATTCATGGGTTCAAAAATAAGGGGTTCAAACTTCAGGGGAGGCTAGAGCCCCCCATCCTGCCTAAATGGTGCTCCTGTTCCATGGCCTAGAATACTTGCTGCAGTCTTAGCAGGACTATATCTTGAACGCCCATTTGCCATATGTCTGTGCTACTTATGCCAAACAATCTCTCCCGCTTTGCATTTCGCTATGATGTTGGGAATCCCTTTCCCAGCCCTCAGGAAAAGTTCTGTGTAGCTCAGAAGCTCGTGTCTCTCACCAACAGAAGCTAGACAACAACAAAAAAAATACTTTTTCACCACTTAACTCTCTGACATCCTGGACTGGACAGAGTTACAATGCTGTACCCATCTTTTCATTGAGACAACTAGCCCTGCATAGCCATGAACCTTCAATTGCATTGCTCCTTTGCTTGTCTAGGGGCTTGTCTACACTCCAGGTTACAGCAGCATAATTTTTGTCACTCAGGTGTATGTCTAAGTCCCTCCCCCCACTCTCCCCAGTAACATAATTACACTAAGTACTACAGCTGTACAGCACTGGACAAGATTCTCCTGCCAACATAGCTACTGTGCTAAATGGGGATGGTTTAGCATGCCAAGGGGAAGGATCTCTCCCATTGGTGTAGCTCATCTTCACCAGACCAGCATCTTCCCTGGTCCAGCTAACATATCCCTCCCTTTGCACTTTCTACACAAATCTGTCCCTTCGCAGCCTGCAACAGGCTAGTGGGGCACAGGAGCAGGAATCCAGGTGGGGAAAGAAGATACACATGGGACTCCCCTAGGGGCAGCAGCAGCATCATGGAGCATTTTGAGTGCTAGAGAAGGTGCAGAGCAGGGCTGGCCAAAGGATGCTCATAAAGTGGGAGACAGGGCCTGCCTTACAGTAACTGCCAGAGCTAGGGTTGCCTGGTGTTGGGTTTTGAACCAGACAGTCCAGTATTGGAGTTTTCTGTTCAGAAAACAAATGGAGAACATATAAATGTCCAGTATTTCCTAAGTCAGATGTAATGTAGATTGTGATGTGATATCAAGTGTGTGGGGTATTTTTGTTGAACCCACTTGGCAACCCTCGAAAAGAGTCAGAGACGTGGCCATAAAAAGGCAGCCACACAATGCCTGTCAGGGAGAACAGCGGCGGGCCGCCCCCGGGGGCGGGGTTCCCCGCGCCGGGGG